AGGTTTAAGCCCCTGAAACCTTAGTTATGTTAAGTAGCTGTTGTGTAGAAATGTCAGCACCTGCCTGAAAATTACCATTTTAGACCAGGCTGGCCTTTGGAAATAAAATGTTATACCTAAAAATTCAGATACTTGATTTCTATGTTCACCAAATAGAAGAAATTACATTAAAACAATAAGACTAATATTGATATTCATAAATATTTCTTACATCAGATTTAATTAACACAAAGTAAAAATGTATAGCATTTTTCAATGTTCACCACAATTAGTATTTAATTATAAAAACTTTTTCCTATCTTTTTTCTTTTCAGATAGAAAAGGTAGAATTGCTGCAGGATCTTGATTAACAGTAATTAAGACCTTTGCCTGAAATCATTGAGGACCCCAAATTGTCTATTTGTGATTCCAACCTCCTTGTATCAACCTCATATTTCTTTGGCCTTTTCCAAACCCTCCGGGTCTGGCATGACTACTGTCATTTCCCCCCCTTTCAATACTGCTTAGGTTAGGCTATGCTTATATTCAGGGGACATTTTCATTTTAAACCCCTGCCGTTTCACCCCTTCACTCTTCAGACACCACTCCTTGCTTTTATCTGTAGTTTTTCCATGGTCCTCAAAAAGCTCCCTTGCTTCCGAAAACGACATTTCTTTTGTGAGAGGCTTTATAGCTATCAGTATACACTAATATACCTGGAAGTATAAGGATCTCCCCGACCCCACAAGCTAAAGAGGCCTATACTTCCTTCATCCTGTAAGTAGATCCCTTTCTGACCTGCATGTCCCGCAAAGGGACTGCTGTATTTATGCCCGAAAATATACAGTAACGCTTGTTTGCTGACAGCAACACACTTTGCACAGAATACGATGAAGTCATTCCTTACCAAAACACTCAGAGCTGAACTGACTTTCTGCTACCTATTCCCAAAGCCGTTCCTCCCTACCCATTTATGCTCATTCCCTTTCTCCGCAAAGACCCCCAGGCAATTCTCCCAAATCTCGCCCCCTCCTCCCGAGAACTACAGCAATTACTAACCCGTTTCTGCTGTCCTGCTCTCCGCCATATTTGTTTTCATCCCTATTTTCTCTCCCCCCCCTTCCCAGAACTAGACGCTGCTGGAACGTCACCATGGCAACGTACGTCACAGCACGGGAAGTTCCTCATTCCCTCTACTCCTGCATGCGAATGCCTTGTACCGGGATTAAAAGTATTAAGAAGTGGGAAGAATAAAATATTGATATAAACGCATGCCAATCTGTAGATGGATAAATGGCATTTGAATAGAAAGTGTAATCAATGAACTTCAACGAGGCTGCACCCGGAACAGGACCTCGATCAATTAAGTGACAATCATGCCTAAGTAAAAACGGAGGGGGGAGGGGGGGAGACATTTTCCAGTAAAAGTTAATGCTATGAGAAAGAGCTACCTGAACCTAAAGAATGCATAGGTTTATAAAATTGAAAATATATGCAGAAAGATTTTGTATTTTTAGCTATGCCTTCATGAAATAAACAGGACGTGAGTTATAGCAAAGGCAAAAGCATAAGTCTCATCTTTTTTATTTAGATGGCTAAATGAAGGGATGTTTCACACCTTACAAAATTGTTTCATCTTTATTTCTCTACTTTTCTTCAGAATGGCTTCCAATTCTCTTGGGGACTAGAAGAGGAATGTGAGGTATTGGCTGCTTTTCCCAATGTGAGTGTGTGCGTGTGCATATATATGTATGCTTTGTCTCTATGGTTTAAGATCTATAACACGGATAGTTTCTAGTAACTGTAATGTGGCTGGCTGGTTTCTGACTTGATTTTTAGTCAGTTTAAACATATTTGATACCTGAATGGCTTTTTCAAATTCACTTTAGTTTTTGTGCTGCAGGTGGAGGGGGGGGACGATGAAGCAAGCATGGGGAAGAAGAATTTGATCTACCAATAAATAGGCATTTCTCAACCTCAGCAACTTTAAAATGTATGGACTTTAACTCCCAGAATTTCCTAGCCAGCGTGAGAGGAATTCTGGGAGTTGAAGTGCACATATATTAAAATTGCTGAGGTTGAGAAACACTAGATGAGCCAATCTTATAGGGAAATACCTTTGGCCTTCAGCCCTTCCTCCATTTCTTGTGCAGATTGTAAGTAAATAATTCTGGCGGTAGGGGTGCATGTTTGGATTAACCAGTACATTTTTTCTTCATTTCCTATGGAACCTATTGTCTAGTTGCAGCAATCTTCTGTTTGAGGTATTTTCCAAATAATATTGGATTGCACTTGTTACACAACAGATATATATGTAAGGAGCCAGTAAACTGTAGTTATCCATGCCAGTAAAGTAATTGACATCCTCTAGTTTAGAACTGTATGCAGTGGACAATAAAAAGGCACCTTAATGTGCTGTTGCAATTATAAATATCATTGTGAATCATTCCACCCCATCACCCCTTCAGGACAACTAGCTGCTGGGCTGGAATCAGTATAGGAAGCAGTAAATTTGCTTCATCTAGCTCACTGGAGCAATAGAAAGAGTGAGTACTCCAGACATCCTCAAGTGGGAATAAGGGACACCTTTTTTTCCCCATTGCCTCTCCAAATATCCTAGCTTTTAATGATGGTGATCTATGCACTCAGATGATAGAACACAAGGGACAAGATATGAGTAACCCTAACTCATATCTTGAGTTACTCTAACCCTAACCCAATGGTAGGATTCTCATAGATTATATATTGATTTAATAGTCTTTTAAGTAATCTTGTGGAATTGCCTTTACCCTCAGGAGAGTCAGAGGCAGTATATGTATCAAATTCTTTCCAAGGTACATGCATGAATCATGCCAAGATTTATAATGGTGTAACCACTATGTTGGCTCATCTGGCAAGGAGTTGATCCAATTGGGAATTTATTGTGAAATATCAGTCACAATGATTCTAGATCTTCTCCATCATCTATTACATTTCACAGTATTCTTCCTATGTGTTTATTATTATATTTATACAATGAGTATAACTAAATAACTTTCTCTCCAAATATGGACATCCATATATATTTTTTGCAAAAAGAAACACAGCGATACAAGAAAGCAAGCAAGCAGGTCATCTTGAAGTGAATATCAGCAGACTGTCCATGAAATCAGAAGGCTAGTTCCTGGGGGCCCCACCCAGTAGTAACTAATCCCCATGACAGCAGTGACACATGACTGTGTTGCCCTTCCATCAAACATAATCATCAAGGATCAAAGACAGGACTTGCTGGAAGATTCCTTTGTATTCTGTAGCTAATATGATTTGTTGCTGGATACAAGCCTTTCGCCTGTTGTCCTCAGGATAGTACATGTCATGGCTCAATAATCCCAGTGTCACCCCTTCAATAAAGGCGAAATCAAGAAACCAGGGCAGAAGGTTTGAGGTAGAGAAGGCCAATCAGAAAGTATGACAAGACTGCAAAGTGTGCTTTTTGTTGTGCCAGGGTTCTTTGGTAACTCTGTGATTAGGACTCAGCTGATGTTGCCTCCAGTCGTGGGACATGAGGACATCCTTTGCTCCTGGCCCTGGGACATGACGGCTGGAAGCAGAATCTCTGTCCTCAGGAGTATTGTTGAAGCAGTGGTATAGTAGGACCACAGGCTCCTTTTTTTTTACATGAGAATGTGACCTTGGATTCTTTGCAGTCCTGCTTTTTTGCAAGAAGTGGCTCATCACAAAAGAGAAAGGGAGGGAGGAGCATTACAACCTTGTGGCAAAGAGGTAGGCAATTGGATACAAGTAGATGCAGCAATATAAAGATGCTAATGTGCTATTCAGCACCCAAACAATATAAAAGTGAGTGGAAGGATTGAAAATGGAGCATATATATGCACAAATGAAGGCAAATATATACGTCCCAGAATCCAGTCTGGTTCAGTCACCGGGCCTGGTTTACAAGTCTGGTAAGAGAGAAGTTTCCTGAAGATGGGCTCCAGCATGAGTCCAAAAGTTTGGAAGGCTAAACCTCTGGCCCAGTGGCCGATCCAGGTTGGATCCTGTACATATACAGGACATTTCTATACTGGGTAATATGATTTACTGTCACTTTGAATTTTGAAACAGTAAACAAGATTAACACGAAGAGATTAAGTAGGCCCTTGACTAAAGAGATTAAAGTGTATGTGTGATTTTAAGTGTTTGAAATCTAATAATAGTAAACTTATCTAATGAGGCTATGAGAACTGAGAAATAATCTAGCTTATTTAGTTGTGAGTTTTGTGAAGATTTTGACCCAACAGAGAACAGCTGAGTAAGACTAAAACATTGGCCTGTTTTGCCCATATATGCATGTATAATGACCAGAGTTCAGACTGGATTTGCAATCAGTAAGAGACAAGTAGCAGATGTATTTGACAATCACCTGTTCTTGTATGTCTCTCTGGCAATCTCTGTCCATGGGCTGGATACATCATGCACAGGCCACACCCACCCCATCTCCGCAAGGCAAAAATAATGTGATGATTCGGCCCATGACACAATTGAGTTTGTCTTAGGGGATGACTGCTGGCAGGACAATCAGGTGTCATAAAATGGTACTGTCAGCTCCTCTCCATTAATTAACTAGGAAAGAAAGACCACCGGACTCCATGTGTGGAAAATCAAGTGTACTTTTACTAATTAANTGGGGGCGATAGGCTGACTCTGTAAACCGCTTAGAGAGGGCTGAAAGCCCTATGAAGCGGTATATAAGTCTAACTGCTATTGCTATTGCTATTTGTGGCTGCTCAGGAAATAGTCAGGCATGGGAAGGGGTTTGAGACTCCCGATATTTTCTTTTCTGTGGGAATCAGTCCAAATGGCTCTTTCTAAGGTTGCCGACTCCTGGCCTATACTTTTACCTTGTGTGGATCCCCAGGGTCTGGTCTCCAGGGCTCTTCAAAAATTGGCATCCTTGTCTAATTTTGAATAGGGTGAGAGAACGGAATAGTCAATCTTGGCATCAGAGCTACCAAATTCTTCTAACGGTTTTGTTCCTCCGCAGGAACTTCACCCGTTACCCGGGAATGTTACAAGAGGCAACATCTCGGCCCGCTTCCCCCAAGCCAAACCAGAGAGTGCCGAAGAACGTAGCGACTTCTGGTAAACCTGTCGACCATCTTCCTTGGAGGGTTGGTGGGGGCGTGAAAGTCCACCAGATACAACCCATGATCTCTAGGGATATTAGAGAAGGAGCGTGCCTCCTCCTCCTACTTCACCTTTCCTTCTCTTGTGTCCTCCACAGAAGCCATCCAGAAACACAAGAAAAGTTTGGCGGATTGGTTTCGCCGGCAGCCCAACGAGGAGAGGCAGTTTGGACCTTCCTTCGCCCTGGATGCCACCCACGTCGACCCAGTGATCCGGGAGAGCTCCCTGGAGGAGATCTTGAAGCCTTCTCCAGACCTGACCATCCAGAACCAACTCCAAGGTTCTTGCTCTCATACCATTGGTCTCCAGAATCTTTTTGACGAGGACCTCTGCGGGCAAGAAGTGAAGAACGTGGTCCTCTACGGGACGGTGGGCACCGGGAAGAGCACCCTCATCAAGAAGATGGTGATGGACTGGTGCCGTGAGCAACTTCCTCAGTTTGAGCTGCTCCTCCCCTTCTCCTGCGAAGACCTTTCCCAGGGCAGCAGCCCCGTGTCTCTGCGCCGCCTGGTGACCAAGAAATACCTCCATTTGCGGGATGTGGCCCCACTCCTTGGCTCCACCAACCTCAAAGTGCTCTTCATCCTTAATGGCCTTGACCGACTCAACCTGAACTTTCGCCTGGCCCGCACTGAGCTCTGCTGTGACCCCAATGAGCCCCTCTTGCCGGCTGCCATTGTCGTCAACCTCCTCAGGAAGTACATGATGCCCGAGGTTGGTAGGGAGGGATGGGCAGAATCCACACTCTCTCCTCCTCCTTCCTCCTTTCTTTCTCCCTACTCTTTTGCCCAAGATAATTACTAGGTAATATCATCTGTGCTAGAAGGGAGGGGGGCTTCAGAGAGCAAACTCGCTGCCTTCTAGCTGTGATGATGTTACCTAGCTGGGTAATGAAAGGTCTGCAAGAAAACCACCAAGCTCAGAGACCACCAAGGACCCCCCTCATTTCAACCCTGAGCTACAAATATTTATTGGTTACTAACCACTATAGAAGGGACATGGTGGCTCGGTGGCTAAGATGCTGAGCTTGTCCGTCAGAAAGGTTGGCAGTTCAGTGGTTCGAATCCCCAGCGCTCCATAATGGAGTGAGCTCCTGTTTGTCAGCTCCTCTCCATTAATTAATTAGGAAAGAAAGACCACAAGACTCCATGTGTGGAAAATCAAGTGTACTTTTACTAATTAAGAACGGTTAAAAGGCAAAGCGTAGCGAAGTCTGATTAATTAGGCGCGAAAGCAATTGATATATAGAATAGCCCATTCCCCACCCCTTGGCATCATAGTCCCAGTCCAATCATAAGTCTTCCAAGTGTCAGGTGTGAGATAACTTCAAAAGGCATCACGAAGATGGAATGTCAGTGCCGTTAGTCCTGGCGGGAAACACCCACACATGCGTAGTCCGATCAGTCGGTGAACTCCAGAACCTTCCTCCAGCACAATGAGTAACCCCTCCCAAATACCATGCCCTCCCTCCCCGTTTCATGGCAGCTGAAGCAATAGCAAAGCAGAAGCTGACACTGTTACTTGTCCCAGCTTCTGCCAACCTAGCAATTCGAAAGCATGTAAAAAAGGCGAGTAGAAAAATAGGAACCACCTTTGGTGGGAAGGAAACAGCGTTCCGTGCACCTTCGGTGTTTAGCCATGCCGGCCACATGATCAGGGAGACGTCTTCGGAGAGCGCTGGCTCTTTGGCTTTGAAACGGAGAGGAACACTGCCCCCTAGAGTCGGGAACGACTAGCACATATGTGCGAGGGAGGAACTAAAGATGATGGTGATGATGCTGAGAAACTAAATTGCGCCATTTCTCTGCTCCCATCGTTAGGATTCATAATCTCAAATCTTCTCCTCCTGTTCCACCATGAATGCCTCTTCGAACATCACTAGGCCTTGGGAGGACTTGGGAGTAACTCTAGTTTGTTTCCATTCCTCCAGGCCAGCATCATTGTCACCACTCGTCCTTCTGCAGCACGCCGGATCCCCAGCAAGTTTGTGGGACGCTACGTTGAAGTCTGTGGCTTCTCGGACCTCAACCTCCAGAAGCTTTACTTCCAGATGCGCCTACGGCAGCCTGAATGTGCCGGAACGTCTGGTCCCCCGACAGCAGAGCAGGCCAACGAGCAGGACAACCTGTTGGAGATGCTCTCCAGGAATCTGGAGAGGCACAACCAGATCATGGCTGCCTGCTTCCTCCCGTCTTATTGCTGGTTGGTCTGCACGACTTTGCACTTCCTTTATTTCACCAAGGCGGTGCCGCCGACGCAAACGCTGACGGGCATCTACACCAGCTTCCTACGGCTCAACTTCAGCGGGGAAGTGCTGGACAGCACCGATCCCTCCAACATCTCCATGATGAAGTACGTGGCCAAGACGGTGGGCAAGTTGGCCTACGAAGGGGTGATGTCTCGGCAGACCTGCTTCGCGGAGAAGGATCTCCGCCGCTGCTTTGAGGTGGAGATGAAGACGGAGAGCGAGCTGAACCTCTTGAACACCTTCCGGAGTGATGTTCTCCGCTTCTTCTTGACTCCCTGCGTTCAGTCGGGCAAGGAGCACACGTTCGTCTTCACCATCCCAGCCATGCAAGAGTACCTGGCTGCCCTTTACGTGGTCTTGGGGGAGAAGAAGACGCTGGTGCAACGGGTGGGCAAGGAAGTCTCTGAGATCATTGGGAAGGTCAGCGAAGACGTGGCCCTGGTGCTTAGCTTGGTCACCAAATTCTTGCCGCTGCGGATCCTGCCCCTCCTCTTCAACCTCATCAAGATCTTCCCCCGCTACTTCAGCCGGTTCGGTACCAAGGACCGGGACACCATTGCCCGCACCATGGCAGTGGAGATGTTCAAAGAGGAGGACTACTTCAACGAGGATGTCCTGGACCAGATCAACTTCAGCATCCTTGGGGTGGAAGGTCCCATGCGCCACCCGGATGAAGCTTCCGACGATGAGGTCTTTGAGCTCTTCCCCATCTTCATGGGCGGGTTGCTGTCCCAGCGTAACCGGGCCATCTTGGACCAGCTGGGCTGTCCTATCAAGAACCTGGCCGCTTTCGAGATCGCCAAGGCCATGAAGAAAACGGTCATCCGGAATAGCCGCAAGGGATTGCCGCCATCTGAGCTGATGGACTACCTCTTCTTTCTGCACGAGTTCCAGAACGAGCGCTTCACGGCGGAGGCCATCCAATCCTTGAGGACCATCAACCTCTCTTCGGTGAAGATGACCCCTCTCAAATGCGCGGTCCTGGCTTCCGTGGTGGGCACCACGAGCCACGACGTCGAGGAGCTCAATCTTGCCTCTTGCCATCTCGATGTGGGCAGCCTGAGGACCCTCTTCCCCATCTTGCTACGATGCAAGAAACTCCAGTGAGTATCTTCTGCTCTAATTTAGTACAATCCACACAATTCACCAAGGTGGCTCGGTGGCTAAGACGCTGAGCTTGTCGATCAGAAAGATCAGCAGTTCGGGGGTTCGAATCCCTAGCACCACGTAAGGGAGTGAGCTCCTGTGACTTGTCTCAGCTTCTGCCAACCTAGCAGTTTGAAAGCACGTAAAAAATGCGAGTAGAAAAATAGGAGCCACCTTTGGTGGGAAGGGAACACGCGTTCCATGCGCCTTTGGCTTTGAGTCATGCCGGCCACATGACCACGGAGACGTCTTCGGACAGCGCTGGCTCTTTGGCTTTGAAACGGAGATAAGCACCGCCCCCTAGAGTCAGGAATGAGTAGCACATATGTGCGAGGGGAATCTTTACCTTTACACAATTCACCTCAAGGTTAAGCTTCAATTATGACACGCAATTAAATCTAAGAGTTCTGCAATGATTATGAAGTTTCACCCTCATTTTTGACATAACGGTGTGTGTTTTAACCCACATCTTTTTTTTTTAATTCATGTTTTTTTTAAAGGAAGTTAAAAAAAAAAACATTTAGTTTCTTAGAAACTCTTCCGATGTGCCGTTCTTATGACGTCCTGCTTTCCTGGCAAGTATCTATTTAAAGGGAACTTAATGCTGAATTTAAAAGATCGAGCAGAGAATTGGGGTGTTTTCAGCTAATTGAAGAGACCATCCTGTGCCACCACTATTCCTAACCCTTTGAAAATAGATTATTTGCAGAAAATGCCTAGTAAATTTGGCAATCACTTGGTGAATCCGTTCCAGTGTGTATTTTTTCAACGGCTAGAAAATTGCAGTCTTGACTTTGAGCAGAGGGTGGCAAAATAGGATAGAAATTTAGAACATTATTTCAGGGTTGAAACTGAAGATGAATCCCTGCCAGAGGTGGCTTCCTACCAGTTCACACCAGTTCGGTAGAACCGGTTCGTCAAATCTACCGAACTGGTTAGAAGAGGTTCTACCAGAAAGCAGGCCACACCTACAGAAGAGGTTCCAAAAAATTTTGAAACCCACCACTGACACACACACACAAACACACACACACACACACACAC